TTTTCCTCCCCTACACATTCCCCTCACCTATCTATCTCCGTTACCTACAATTTCCCTCCCTTGCCCATTTCTCTCCCTTACCCGTTTCCCTCCCTTACATATTTCCCTCCCTTACCTATTCCTCTCACCTACCCATTTTCCTCACCTACCCACTCCCCCCCCCCCCTCCCCTTCCCCAACCCATTCCCCTTCCCACCCATCCCCCCACCCATTCCCACCCATTTTCCTTACCTACCCACTACCCCTCCCCACCCACTCCTCCCCACCCACCTCCCCCCCTCCCCACCCATTCCCCTCCCCACCCACCACTCCCCACCCCACTCCCCTCCCTTCCCCCCCATTCCCCTCCCCACCCACTCCTCTTCTCCCACCCACTCCCCTCCCTTCCCCCACCCACCCCTCCCCAACCCACTCCCTTACCCCACCCACTCCCCTCCCTTCCCCAACCCACTCCCCTCCCCCACCCACTCCCCTCCCCTACCCACTCCCGTCTCACCCACTCCCCTCCCCTCCCCACCTACTCCCCTTCCCCCACCCACTCCCGTCTCCCACCCACTCCCTCCCTCACCTACCCACTCCCCTTCCCCCAACACACTCCCCTCCCCCCCACTCCCCCCCAACCCACTCCCTTTCCCCACCCACTCCCTCCCTCCCCTCCCCAACCCACTTCCTACCCTCCCACTCCCCCAACCACTCCCCTCCCTCCCCCTCCCTCCACCCACCCACTCATTCCCCCCCCCAACCCACTCCCCTCCCACGCCCCCCCCCCACTCCCCTACCCACTCCCCTTATCCCTCTTCCTCACCCACCCGCTTCCCCCCCCCTCTCCCCCTACCCACTCCCTTACCCCTCCCCCTCCCCACCCACTCCCCTTACCCCTCTCCCACCCACCCACTCCCTACCCCTCCCCTTCTCCCACCCACTCCCCTTACCCACTCCCTCCCCCTACCCACTCCCCTTACCCCTCTTCCTCACCAACCCGCTTCCCCCCCGCTTGATCTACGGCCACCTGGGCTACAACAACCAAACGGACGAGTGTGACTTCATGGACGACACGCCGGCGAAACAGGGGCCGAGGAAGCTCTTCTTGGCCATCGGGTTCTTGCTCCCGTGCGTCGTCATCATCGCTTCGTATTCGTATATCTTCTATAAGGTGGGGTGGGGGTGGGTGGGGTGAGTGGGGTGGGGGGTGGGGGGAGTGGTGTGGGTGGGGGGTGGTGGGGAGTGGGGATGGGGGAGGGGGGTAGGGGTTGGGGGTGGTGGAGGGGTAGGGGTGGGGGGATGGGGGTAGTGGTGGTGGTAGTGGGTTGGGGGTGGAGAGTGTGGGGGAGATGATTGGGTGGTGGTGGAGTTGGGAGTGGAGGGGGCGGTAATGGTGGTGGGGGTGGGGTGTTGGTGGTGGTAAGGTGGCGATGGGGTGGGAGGGTAGATAGAAAGGTATGTGCGTATGTCTGTTGTGAGGGTAGGGGGGAGGAATGGGTTGGAGGGGGTATATTTGTGGTGTGTGTGGGGGTGGGGTGGAGTATTGTGTAAGTGTGTGATTGTGTGTGTCGTGTGTGGTGCGTGTTTGTGTATGTGACTGTGTGTGTGTGCTTGTGTGATCCTGTGTGCGTGTTTGTCTGTACGCATCTGTATACACACCTGTGCATCGATCTCTATGCTTTCCCCCCGCATATACAGACAAATATTTACACCAGTACACAACCATTTCCCTAATGACCGATCGAAGCCACACCTGTTTACACATCTGTCCGAGTAACTACACCAATCAACCACTTATTATTATTCATTATTTATTATTTAGATTTACCACTTAAAAGCGTCTTTCATTTCCCAGGCAAGGCAAAGTTCAGCTAAGGTTCAAGCACGGAGGAGTAACAGCTTAAACAACAGTGTCACTAGTGATGTCAGGTAAACGTCTTTTCATTACGTTTTTTAATGTTTGAAAGTAATGAGTAAGAAGATACGTTATTGAATCATATGGTGGTGACTTATTGGTAATATTGGAAGTTGCGAGTGTAATTATCGGTGCTTGATATAATTATGATGAATTCTTTTGTTAAAAGTCATGGGAAAAGAGAATATGTAATATTGAACGCTATGATGATGAAGTATTGTAGTTGATAATCCCATATTTGGTAATTATCATCATGGGTGTTTGTTTATAATTATGTAAGCGGATGTTTGTCATTGAATCACCCCATTACAGATAATTTTTTTTTTTCTTACAATTCAATATTATCTTTACCTACTTCTCCTCCATGGTAATGTAAATAATAATACTCACAGATGAAAGTTACTCATACCTAATTTCTCTCTTTGTTCATCTTCTCCATATGAATATCCACTAAAGAAAGTTATTCATACCTAATCTTTCCGTTTGTCCATCTTCTAAATCCAAATATCCACAGAAGAAAGTTACTTTACACCCAATTTCTCCCTTGCTCCATCTTTTCCATCTGAACACTCACAGAAAATTTCTCATACAACGTTCTCCCTCATTTCTGCTCCTCTGACGAAAGAAAAATACTCGATAAGATATACACTCTATTCCCCAGCAACAGACCCTCTTCATTCACGTCCAAATTCCCTCACAGAAACAGCCGCCCCGCAGAAGGACTGAGATCACGTGACATCCGCATTGCCCGTACAATAGGTGTCATTTTCCTGGCTTTCCTCATCTGCTGCATGCCGGTCTCCATCGTTCACTATCTGTACTGGAAGGTAATGTTGTAGTTGGTTTTGTTTTGTCTTTTTTTCCCTCTGTTCTTGGCTGTCTGTGTATGTTTGTGTGTCTGTCCCTGTCAGTCTTTGTCTCTTTGCCTGTTTTTGTCTCTCCGTCTGTTTCTGTCTCTGTCTATCTCTCTCTCTCTTTCCTCCTCTCTCTCTCTGTTCCTCTCGCTCTCTCTTCTCCTCTCTCTCCTCTCTCCTCCTTCTCTCTCTCTCTCTCTCTCTCTCTCTCTCTCGGTCTGTCTTCGTCTCTCTCGTCTCTCTCTCTCTCTCTCTCCTCCTCTCTCTCTCTCTGCTATCCTCTCTCTCTCTCTCTCTCTCTCTCTCTCTCCCTCTCTCTCTCTCTCTCTCTCTCTCTTCGCTCTCTTTTCTCCTTTTGTGTTTTGGGTATAAAGCAGGGTTGGGTTTAGAGAGAGAGAGGAGAGAGAAAGAGAGAAGAGAGAGAGAGAGAGAGAGAAGAGAGAGAGAGAGAGAGAGAGAGAGAGAGAGAGAGAGAGAGAGAGAGAGAGAGAGAAGAGGAGACGGAGGCAAACAGAGACAGAGAGAAAAAAAGACAGAAAGAGAGAGGGGGGAGATAGGCAGAGAGACGGAGAAGGAGACAGACAGAGACGCGAAAATGCAGATGTACAGACAAACAGAAAGACACAGCCGAATCACATACACAAGAGTGATTCATAGGCCTACTAAATATTTCAAAATTCGTTAAACCCTTTGACTCTAACCACAGACACTTATAACACTTATTATTAACACTTATATGATATTTTGTTACTCTATATTTTTCTTAGAAAGATTTCCATTCATTTTGTTATAGCATTAGGAACAAAAAAATAATTTCACGAACTGCAGAAATTGGCACATCTCATATGATTATTCTTGACAGTGAGAATAATGTGTATGTATATATCTGTGTGTGTGTGTACACACATATATGTACATGTGTGTGTGTGTGTGTGTGTGTGTGTGTGTGTGTGTGTGTGTGTGTGTGTGTGTGTGTGTGTGTGTGTGTGTGTGTGTGTGTGTGTGTGTGTGAGTGGTGCGCGCAATCTGTTTCTATGATAATCACAACCACCCTTTCTCCCCTGCAGATTCAGTCACCATCACTTTTGCTCCTTCTGCACCCTCTGTATTGGGCTCAATATTGCATCAACATCTTCATCTACGTGTTTATGAATCGCCAGTACAGAGACGCCTATGTTAATTATATCTCCAGGTGGTGGCCGGACTTCAGGGAGGTGAGTGTGCGTTTGTGTGTGTGCGTTTGTGTGTGTGTGTGTGTGTTTGTGTGTGTGTGTGTTTTATATGTTGTGTTTGTGTTGCGTGTGTTGTGTTTATGTTGTGTGTTTGTTGTGTGGTGTTTGTGTGTGCGTGTGTGTTTGTTTGTGTGTGTTGTATGTGTGTGTGTTTGTGTGTTTATGGTGGGCGTGTATGTGTTGTGTGTGGTGTGTGTGTGTGTGTGTGTGTGTGTGTGTGTGTTTGTGTGCGTGTGTGTGTCCCGGTATGCGTAGTTTTTTGGTATATGTTGTATTTGTATGTTTTTTGTTTTGTTTTTTTTTGCTTCTTTATTTTCTGTATTTTGTGTTTTTGTGTTGTTGCGTGTGTGGTTCTTTTCATTATCTAAGTCACGTATACCAAAGCCTATGTATATCTGAATATGATATGACATAGAATCCATACAAACCTCACAATTTTTTTTTTTTTTTTTTTTTTTTTTTTTTTTTTTTTTTTTTTTAAAGACATTCCCTCCCAACGATAACCCGCCCCTCCTGTCCCTCCCCCTTAGTACTTCCACTTCCGCCTCGTGAGCGAGATCCACCCCTGGGCAGTCTGCCTCCACCCCGCCTGCCTTTCCAACATGCCCAAGGACTATTCCTCCGGCCTCTACCTCGGGCTTAATAAGGACGGGCCGCCCCTTCGGTGATCCATCTCCTGCCGACGAGGATGATGTAATTATGGGACTTGAGTCGAGGAGTGTCATGCACATTTTGGTCTTTCTTGGGTCGACGCATGTTTTTTTTTTTTTTTTTTTTTTTTTTTTTTTTTTTTTTTTTTTTTTTTTTTTTTTTTTTTTTAGTGCATGACTTGTGTAGCGCACCCAAAAGTCCCCTCAAAACGTCTTGGATGCATGACGTTTTTTTTTCTTAAGTTCCGTCCCATGTAATTGACTCGCATGACCTTTGCAAGAATTGAGACATACGCATTATAGAACGTTATGTTATATTATATAACGTTATATCTCATAACTAATAATTTAAAACAGAAATACTGAGAAATATGCATGTTTCTTCTACGTTCCGCACATTTTATATACATACCATGCATACCATATGGTATAAAATATTTATACAATTATATCATCATATCACGCATACCATAATACGATTATATTACCATATTATGCATATTATATTTCCGCACGCCCCTTCCCTTTTGCATGACCCACCATAGGCAGTTCTAGCACGAAAATTTCCCTAAGAGTCTGAATGAATCATTTCCTGACCACGAGATCGAAGCCCGAACACGTGACACCCGCTCAGGCTTCGAAATTCCGAAGCATGAATTTTTGAAGCTTTGGGTTTTAGTCGAGAGTGAATGTTATCTTATCTAATCACAGCCAGCCAAGGTGTGATTCATATTGGTCGCATGCGTAATAACTTTGTTTTTGTTTTTTTGTTTTTTTTTTTCCTTCTTTTTTTTTTGATAAAGAGAAATGTCGTTTAGAGATATATCACGTAAGAAGGTTTCTCCATTTCTTACTCAAATGAACCTGAATGATTCTCTTTCTCTAAAACAAAGTATTTCCTTTCATTTATATTCACAAAAAGAAACAAAATCTAAGGATAATTTATGTATATATAATATATATGCATATAAACACATTTACCATAAACCACACACACACACACACACACACACACACACACAACACACACACACACACACACACACACACACACACACACACACACACACACACACACACACACCACACACACACACACACACACACACACACACACACACACCACACACACACACACACACACACACACCACACACACACACACAACACACACACACACACACACACACACACACACACACACACACACACACACACACACACACACACACACACACACACACACACACACACACACACACTCACACACACACACACACACACACACACACACACACACACACACACACACACACACACACACACACACACACACACACACACGACACACCACACACAAACCACACACAATAAATATACAAATATATACACATACATACATATATATATTATATATTTATATATATACATAAATATATATATATAATATATATATATATATATATATATATATATATATTATATATATACATCCACACACATAAACACATGACAAGACAAAATGCAACAAAGCATCGCCCGAGGAATCTCACCCTGCTCTCTCCCTCAGCTTTCCCGCCGCAACTTCAAGTGGAAGGAGGAGCCGACGAGCGACAGCGGCCGAAGGGTCTCCCGCGCCCACACCCCCAGCAGCGTGGTCAAGTTCGCCACCCGCAAGAACTCCAAGACGTCCTTCAGGAGCCCCAACGACCCCCCGGGGACGCCGAAGGCAGCCGAGAAAGCGGGGACGCCGATGCTCTCCGATACACGTATTTAAGGCCGCGTCTTTGTCTGGGACGCGGAGAGGCGAGGAGAGGAGGGGGGCGGGGGCGAGGAGAGGAGGGGGGGGCGAGGAGGAGGAGGAGGGGGAGGAGGAGGGGAGGGCGAGGAGGAGGAGGAGGAGGGAGGGAGGGCGAGGAGGGGAGGGAGGAAGGGCGGACGGTGGACGGGGGAAAAGGATAAGGATAATTATGGATTGAAGGATATACGAAGGACTGGAAAAAAAAAACAGAATGTATCATGAGAAAGTGAAGATATTCGTTTCTTAATTAAGTAGAATATCCTTTCCCAGTCAATTAACAGTGTGGTTGGCGTTTCGAAACAAAATCCTATTTTTGTAAATTCTCGGTTAAGAGGATATCTCTCCTGCAGTAGACACGCAAGACGTTCTACTGCGAATCAATCCTATCAAGGGAACGAAAATAACTTGTAGAAAAAATATGTATAGGAGTAGAAATTACTGGAAATTTTGTATTTTTCTCCGTAAGATATTTACTCTTGATTTTCTGAATCGAGAAAAAAAAATGTGTTTTTGTACATATGTTTGTATATATTGATACTGCATTTGCAGAAAGTGTTTATTATATTAAGCTGTGAAGATGTTTTGTAATTAATGTTCATATTTCTTCAATTTTCTTTTCTCTTTTCAATTCTCTTTTCAGTCTTTTTTCAGTCGCTGCTTCTCCTTTTCTTTCTCCTTCTCCTTCTCTTCTTTATTCTTCTCCTTCTTCTCCTTTTCTTTTTCCTTCTCCCTTTCCTTCTCCTTCTCCTTCCTTCTTCTTCTTCTTCTCCTTCTCCTTCTCTTTTCTTTCTCTCTCTTCTTCTTCTTTCTCTTCCTTCTCTTCTCCTTTTTTTTTCCTTCTCCCTTTCTTCCTTCTCCTTCCCTTCTTTTCTTCTTCTCCTTCTCCCTTCCTTCCTTTTTTCTTTCTCCTTTCCTTTCTCCTTCTCCTTCTTCCTTTTTCTTTCCTTCCTTCTCCTTCTTCTTTTCTTCTCCTCTCCTTCTTCTTCTTCTCCTTTCCTCTCCTTCTTCTTCCTTTTCTTTCTCCCTTCTCCCTTCTTATTATTCTGATCCACCATCCTCTCTTCCTTATCCTCCCCTCTTTCTTATTCTTCTCCTTCTTCCACTTCTTCTTCTTCTTAGAATTTCTTGAATTATTTCCCGCCTTTTCGTCTCTCAGATAAATTCGAACACTTTAATGGAACACTGATACAAGGAGTGTTCTTATAACTTATTTTCTTATCTTATCAGCGTCCACTGTAAGTATGGTATCTATAGTGTTAATATGTGACGGATGCTCATCATGATTAGATTATTTTTTCTTGGCGATGAGAATGGTAAAACAGATGTATTTTTTATTTTCTGATTTTATTTGTACAAACTTGATCTCTTTTTATGCAAATACTCTTGATATCTGCTGAATAAAATGTATAGATATATATGTTGTCATTTCTTTTAAATGTGTATGTAAAGTGCTGAGACTTGAATTGATAAACCATTATATATATATATATATATTTTTTTTTTTTTTTTTTTTTTTTTTTTTTTTTTTTTTTTTTTTTTTTTTTTTTTTTTTTTTTTTTTTTTTTTTTTTTTTTTTTTTTTTTTAGAAACATCTTATTTCGGAATTTATTTTTAACTGTTTTGACTAAATGTTGCTCCATTTCTGCATACAATGTTAATAATATCGATACCATTTTTTATCATGATTAATACCAGAGTTTCCATAAGTACTTTTAATTCGCACACGGGGATATGCCAACAAACACACATAAGTAATCACAAAAAAAAAAAAAAAAAAAAAAAAAAAAAAAAACATATAAAATAAATCTTCAAAAACAAAAATCACTTTAACAAACGCATTTCTATTATTATTGCCCTTATTTGGTATACCTCCCTTCCCCCCCCTCTCTCTTCTATCTACTCCCCCTCTTTCTCTTTATTCTTCTATTCCTCTCTCTCTCTCTCCATCTATCTTTTATTCTCTATTCTCTCTCTCTCTCTCTCTCTCTCTCATCTCTCTTTTATTCTCTCTCTTCTCTCTCTATCTCTCTCTTATTCTCTCTCTCTCTCTCTCCATCTCTCTTTTATTCTCTCTCTCTCTCTCTCTCTCTCTCTCTCTCTCTCTCTCTCTCTCTCTCTCTCTCTCTCTCTCTCTCTCTCTCTCTCTCTCTCTCTCTCTAGAATAAAAGAATATTATTTGGGGTTATTATACACATCCGCAACCTCCAGTAAAATTAATTAAAATTAATTAAAACGTACAGAAGGTTGTCATGAAAGCACACGTGTACGTCCACAACTGGATACTAAACCCCAAGTCATTCTTCGTACACACGGGAGATATTCATTGAACAGAAACAGAACAGAACAGAAACTCATTGAACAGACAGCCGGCCTCCACAACCTGTAGTGAATTGTTCATTATCATTGTTGTTATCATTGATACCATTGTCATATCAATATTGTCATTAGTATTATTATTATCATTATTATTATTTTTTATTATTATTATTATTATTATTATCATTATCATTATCATCATTATTATTATTATCATCATTATTATTTTGATGATGATGGTGATAATGAAAATGATAATGATGAGGATGAGGATGATAATTATGATGATGATGATTATCATAATGAGGATGGTAATGATAGTGATAAAGAAGATAATAATTACTTTTGCCATTAATTTTAGTAGTAATATAAGTAGTCCTATTATTATCATTACCATTATTATTATCATTACTGATACTAGTATTACATTATTTTTACTATTATTATCATTATTGATATTGGCATTACATTGTTCTTACTATTATTATCGTTATCATTATTACATATTTATTATAACCATTAATATCATTGTTATCATTATCATCATTATCATTATTATTCTTATCCTTATGATTTTATAATGATTATCATCATCATTATTATCATCATCATTGTCATTATCATCCTCATCCTCATCATCTTTTCCATAATCATTATCATTATTTTCATTATCATTATTATCATCATCATCGTTATTTTCATTATTATTGTTATCATTATCATAATGATTATTATCATCATTATTATTATCATCATCATTATCATTACTACTATTATTATCATTAGCATTAGTATTGGTATTAATAATATTATTGTTATTATCATTATTATTATCATCATTACTACTAGTACTACAACTATTATTACTGCTACCATTATTACTATCATCATTATTATCATCAAACTCATCATCATTTTCTTTTATTATTATCATTATTGTTACTATTAATATCATTAGCATTTTCATTAATTATATTATCGTAGTGAGGCCGATTTAACAAAATTTCCGGATTTTCAATTATTATTATCATTATTATTATCATCATCACTATTTTTATTACTACTATTATTATCATCATCATTATTATTATTACTAATATTATAATTATCATAATCATCATTATCAGTATTAACTTTATCATTTTTATCATTATCATCCGTATTATTGCTACCATTATCATCATTATCATTACTGTTATAATTATCACTATCATCATTATCACTACGATCATTATGATTATCATTGTTATCCTCATTCTAATCATCCTCATTATCATCATTTTCACTATCATCATTATCATTATTATAAGTTTTGTTATAGCCAATATCATTACTATCATCACTATCACTCTCATTATTATTGTTGTTATTATTATTAGCAGCAGCAGCATTATTATTATTATTATCATCATTATTATCATCATTATCATTTTGTTATTATAATTATCATCATCATTATTATTTTGTTATTATGATTATCATCATTATTTTATTATTTATCATCATCATTATTATTTCATTATCATCTTTATCATTTGTTATCATGTTATTATAATTATCATATTATTTTGTTATCATCTATCATCATTATTATTTTGTTATCATCATCATTATTATTATAATCATCATTATTATTTTGTTATTATAATCATCATCATCATTATTTTTTTTATTATAATCATCATCATTATTATTTTGTTATTATAATCATCATCATTATTTTGTTATTCATCATCATTATTTTGTTATCCATTTATTATTTTGTTATTATAATTATCATCATTATTATTTTGTTATCATATTAATCATTATTATTTTATTATAATATTATAATATTATCATCATCATTATTTTGTCTTATTCATCATTATTATCATTATAATCATCATCATTATTTTTTGTTATTATAATCATTATCATCATCATTGTTATCATTATCATTACAAACGGAAAGAGTTAAACAAAACATCCAGCTGAGATAACAACACGATTCTGATAAGAAGACCAACAACTTCCTTTCGAGCTTTTATATCATTTGATTACCATCCGGCTTTTTTTTATATCTTTTAAATAAAAATCTTACTTTCCTTATAATAATTTGTGTTCTTTTTAATTATGTGGAGATGGTGTATGATGGTGTATTGAAGAGAGGATTTTTTTTTTAATCTGAGGGTGTTATTTGGTGTTGCATGCATGTCTTGGTGTTGCAAAATACGTGATAATAGTTTCTTTTTATGGTATATTAAAACTAGGGATTTTCTGTCGACATTTTTTTATTCTAATATAATTCATATCTACAAAATTATATGTTTGTAATTTTATACGTGTGTGCGTATGTGTTAGTATGAGAGAGAGAGAGAGAGAGAGAGAGAGAGAGAGAGAGAGAGAGAGAGAGAGAGAGAGAGAGAGAGAGAGAGGAGAGAGAGAGAGTAAGGAGGTAGAAAATGTATTTGTACGTACATTCTCAATCTATTTTCCTACATCTCTACTCAGTTTCCCCTATAGCATCATTAGTATTGCTACCATAATATCAACAGTAATGATAATGATGATAAAACATCATTATCATTACTGTTGATATCATCATCATCATTATCACTACTATCATTATTATCATCATTGTTATCATCATTGTACCATCTGCAAATCGGCAATCACAATGTTATGACAGAGTTCTTCACCCAGCTTGTTCACCGGCCTCACCCAGCGCGCCCGGGCAGGTTCG